GATTTATCACAATGAAAGGATCCAAAGCAAAATCAGCAAAAGAAAAGGCACATGGGGCAAAACCTGGAGGAAACTGGGTGCAAGCTTCTGAAAGTCCTCTCCTAACAGAGTCACACAGGGTGTGCTTAATTCCTCCCATATGAGTTGTGACCACACTTGTGAAATGTTGTCCTCCAGTCTCATTAGAGGCACAGTGCACAGAGTTTTTACTGGGGGCTGGTTACATAAGCACCTTCTGCGTGGCACATATCCACATCCCAGAGTCTCAAAAGGAAAGCAGGTGTTTAGCATAAACCACATCATTTGTACCAACATTTTAGGTGCAGGGACCCACTCTTAACTGTTGGGGGAATGGGGAACCCCTCTGGAAGTCCAAGTTTCTAGATGCCAGCCAAGGGCCAGGCTTGCAAGCAGCTGTGTAAGGAGAGTGGTCACCCCCCCTGCTGTGTTCACTTCTCTGCACTTGGAATGATTGTTATCACTTAAGTTGCTGAGAAAGGGATATTGAAGGAGAGATTTTTCAAAATCCAGGAAAGTCTGATGTTAAGTCATGTTTCTGGAAGTGAGATTTGAGTTTGGGGCAAAAGAAGGGGATTAAAGGAGGAATCACAGAGTACAGAGGACTGAAAGCGGTCCTGGTCTTATATCGTGTGCAGGGGACCAGAGAAGCAGGTGGAGAATGTGACTGTGTTTTAGGAGCCCAAGAAGAGGGAGAGGCTCAAAATGGAGAAAACGCTCCATGGTATTTAAAATGCCACAGATTGGTAGGAATTCTGGGGACTGCACAAAATGCCATTGAGAATTCTTTTAGTAATGTGTAAATTGATTTTTTTTCTTAAGATTATCTGTGCACATTAAAGCAAGACTTTTCAGCCAATGTCTTAATAGCTTCCCTGCCTATCACATCTTTGTGTTTTCTTTTGATCACTTTACAAAATCCCTTTTACAATTTTTTTTTTGTCATTGCTTTGCATTACTTTATTCGAGTATAGATGTCACAGGAAGATAGAAATGGAAGAGCTTTGGGAAGGCTAAACGAAATTCTTTGAGCATTACTGCGTACTTACTTCTCTCTGATAATTCTTTAAGGATAGCAACAGCCAAAAAGCGCCTCTTCCATTCTTGATTGAAAAGTAATTGTTTGTTCATTTAAAAGGATTGTGTTTGCCATTCCATTAATCTCTTTCCTGCTTGCTGGTGAAGAATAAACATTGAAAGCTGCTTGTTTGGAGCCCCAAGGGGGATGGTGAAAGTGTTTGAAAATCCTCCTACACCCTCGGACTCTTCCACACCCCTGCTTCTAGGTCCTAACTCTGATACTTAATTTCTCTCTCTGTGCATTCTCAGATGTTAAGGTTGCACAGCAGCTCTGAGATGGATGCCCATCATTGAAAAGAACTATGTGGCCCAATAGTGGCTTTTCTTTTGCTTGTAATAAAACCCTGTCCAAACCACATTTATTTGGGGGAAAAGAAACAACTCTTTGTGGCTGGCTTGAGTACTTAGTGGCACAGCAAATATTGGTGCCTCCTCTCACACTCCAGATGATTCAGGGGTAGGAAACTCTTACATGGCAGAGGGTGGGACGTAAGTGCTGAATGTGGCATTGGCAGTCCCAGTCACCTTGAGTGGTGGGGACACATCTGGCCTTCCTCACTTCATTGGACTTCAGGAGGGCAAATGCGTGCCATGATTGAAGTGGTTTTAAATTCTCTATCTCTTGTCCTAACCTCCCAGGGCTTCCAGCAAAAGTTCTCCTTCCACAGTAAAGAGATTGTGGCTATCAGCTGTTCCTGGTGCAAACAGGCGGTAAGTTTGGGAACCAAATGAAACAAAGTGGGCTCTTGTTTTATCAAAATGAACCTATGTCATTACTTGAGTTGCTGTCTGTAAACGGAAGGTCATCCTAATTTATGTATTATTTCCCTCACATAGGATCCTTGAAGGATTAGATTAAACCATAGGACTAATGCCTCTATGAAATGGGAGAAACTAGAGATTCAAGTAACCCTTTAATTTATACACACTGAAGCCTAGGATCAGAGCCTGGGAAATCCTCCCCTGTTCCTACCCTGGGTCTAGACTCGAGGACTTCTCACCCCCTAGCATGTATTTCTTCCATTGCACTAGATTGTTGACAACTCCTCTACGGTTGGAAGTTGCACCATTGGATAATCCTTCTAACACCGGAATCAAGCCATCTTGGTTCTTCTGTTTTTGATGTGGGTGTCTTTTTTATGGGGCTGTACTGGGGTAAGGAGTGGTCTTGTACCCTTCTTTAGGCTTGGATATTGTTATAGCTCTTTATAGCTGTTCCTTACATTTGAACATATATATGTTCGTTAGGATCCAGTGATGTTTTCCCTATTTTCCTCTTTTGTCTATCCTTTTGACATTTTTTTTTAATACCCCTTTTCAACCAGAGGGTTCATTTTCTTATTTGCCTACATACCTGTTCTTTTTTTAACCAGACAATGCTAACTTGTGGATTGGCCAGCTGTGGCCCATAGGCTAAATCTGACTGCTGCCTGTTTTTATAAATAACATTTTACTGGAACACAGCCATGCCCATCCATTGATGTATTGTCCATGGCTACTTTCATGCTATAATAGCAAAGTTGATAGTTGCCACAGAGACAGTATGGCCCCATAAAGCTCAACTATTTACTATCCGGGCCTTTTATAGAAAAAGTTTCCAGACCCCTGCTCTAATCTCTCAGTTCACCTACTTTGTTGAATGACTGTGTAATTGGGGCAGAGTCTGTTCATTGCACAGACAACCTGAAAAGACAGGGCTGCAGTATTTCAGCTAAGGGTTTGCAGGAAGACTTTGGCCCCCTACACACATGAGATTTAACAAGCCAACCTAGCCCACAGGGCCAGAGCAGATGAATTTAGGTGAAACACATAAAAGTGACATGTTTGTAGGTCAGCTGCTTTTGAACTTTGGGAATTTTATAAAGTTTGACCCAGTCTCTGTAGCATAATTTCCCTGGGCCCCCACGTATCAGGAGAACCTATTGTCAGTAGATAGGGTTGCACTAGTCTGGAAAGCTCAGTGCTTGCTGTGTCCCTATCCTGCCACATTTTCTAGGCATTTCCATCTCCTTTCAGTTAATTTTTACACAAATAATCTTTGTTCAAGAATCTGCTCACAAATATAAGGTCATCCTAGTTCTTGAATGAAACTATCCTATTCCATCAAGGCACTATCTCCACCTAGAGACAAAGAAGCTGATTCAGGTTTCAGGTGTCCCTAACAGTATATGTGCTGCTGATTTCCCTGATCTGTTGAGACGCCACCTGTGGGAGAGTATTGGCAGCGTGGGCTCCTATAGGCTGCATCTGTTCCGATGCTGGAACTTCCAGGCTGTGGTGAGATGGTTTATCCAGAGTCCATTAATTTGGGAACTCAATTCCACTTCACCTGGAGCACGTGTTGTCTTTACATTAATTCATAGTCCAATTGAATCCCATTGTAGGTGATTTTGCAAGAACTAGAAATATAAAAATTTAAGACAAATTACATTGGTGATACATTTTAGCCCTACAGGTAATTCCTTCTAGGATATCTAATGTCAAATAAGTGCCCTCTGTAGGCACTTCCGGCAGCAGGAAAAAACAAACAAACAAACAAACTGGATTTGAGAGCTGGGCTTTTGGGTTTAGGCTCTGACTCCACCTTGTAAAAGTTATGCACTTTTGGCTCTCTGTCTAGATTGGAGACGACACAAGTACAAATTAGGAGTTGAAACAGGCTGTCTTGGAGATCCTGGCCATTTTAGAAATGCAATGAAAATGGGCATTTACGGGTTTATCTGAATTGCTGAAAGAAAATCAGTTTTTAAAGAAGGTATTCAAATAATATTTCTCTAGTGTATCATAATTTGGAGATCACAAATAACTGATGGTAGGGGAAATTAATAATTTATTTTGTGTTTATACTTAATTAGTAATTTTCTACTGGACCACATCAGACCTTGACAATAGGCAGAAATGAAGGCAGATTCTCTCTATGACAGGATTGGGGTGGCCGTATTTGCCAGTTTTCCAGAGACCAACCTAATTTATGTCTTTTGTTGCAACGTAATTATTATTAGTGCTCCCTTCCATTCTTAAAATTGTTCCAGTTATGATGACAAATTACGGTTCCATTAAGTATAATGCGGTAGAAACTGATGTTAAGGTTTTTAAAAAATCCCTGATTAAAACTTTAAGGCCCATAATTATTGTAGCATGTGGATTTTGTTTATTAGGAAAATATTATTACCACACATCACTATCACTTTACACACAAAAGAGGATTGAATATGTGATTGGCCTATGGTCACTTAGTCTGTTGGTACAGAGTTTAACCACTAATCCTGAAGTATTGCTACGATCATCAGTCTACATTTACTTCCTTCCTATCAAAAACAGGCAGCATTTTAGATTTGCCAAGTGTAATAGGTTCGTTGTATTTTTCGGCAGCCCCAAACAAACCCAGCAGAGGCAATCTCTTTGTTTCCGCTTGAGTTAAGAACTCTCTAGAAGAGACCTCTTGCTTCTTTCCTGGGTGTCCTAAACTGGAGGGACTACCCCGGGTGGATTTACATCTATGATTAGCAAAAAGAGAGGAACTGCTCTTCTGCTTGCCTTCATTTCCTCCTCAACATTGTTTCCCGTCTAGTCTGTGACCAGCACAAGTCAAGTGCAACAAAATTATATGCAAGGCTAGGATTAATAGAAGCATTCGCGACCTCGTTATGTAAATATCCTATTAAAAGCTTATAAAGTTTTAGCTGGCCTTGACCTACAAGATTGATTTCTTTATCTGTTTGTAAAGTGGAACGAATTCAAAATCTGCTCACTTCCAGGGCTGTTTGGGTAGTGATAAGGAGCATGTGTCCTCGGTGTCTGTGCCTGCGGGCGAGCGTGCACGTGCACATGTACTTACTCCTTGTGCCCATGTATGATTCCTGGATTTGTTTACTGGCTATTTTTCTCCTCAGTTTCACAATAAGGTGACCTGCTTCATGCTGCATCACATTGAAGAACCCTGCTCCCTGGGGGCTCATGCTGCTGTCATTGTCCCGCCCACCTGGATCATTAAGGTGAAGAAACCTCAGGTAACTTCTGGGACCCTGGTGCTGCTGGGCCTGTGCAGAGAAGAAGGAACTGCTGCTTCTTGCTTTTCTTGCCCTGACTTTTTTGGGGGTTCCTAAAATCTCTGCTCACTCATCCCCACAGCCCCATGCTCAGCTTCCCGGGTACATTCCATTAGCCCATCACTTTACTGCAGTTGGGCTCTCTCATGGAACCAGCCTCCCTTTCCCAAAGAAATCAAAGTTCCACAGCAGGAATGTTTCCTTCCCATTCATGTGCTAATGATATTCTCTTTGGGTGTTCTCCTGAATTCATTAAATACAAGTGGTGGGTGCAGCTAATTTCTTACACAACTCTCTTCTCTTCCAGCCTGGGCATCCCCAGGGAGTGAATGTGAGGGCAAACTGTGCAGGCTTCCGTGTTTGGTTGAGATTACCACCACTTCCAACCTGACCGGCAGACTGTGGGTCATGACCTTCCTAAATACACAAGGCCTGCTCAGAGAGCAACACTCTTTTCTTAAGGCAAAGTAGAATTTATCCTCTTAATACCTAATCTCATTCTGTATTCAATTCTTGTTGTACATTCTGTCCTAGAGTGTCTCTGCAATATTCTGGGAAACCTTAGTGGTTTCTCAACAAGGTCGTAATCTTTGACAGCAAAATTTCTACCTTTGTACTAGACACCTTAGACCATTAGCTCCAAGGTATGGGTTGGCAGACTTTTAATGTGATGGGGGAAAGGTGGTACCTCCCCTGGGGATGCAGCTACTTTAGGATGTCCTACTGAGTATAATATCTTTATAACCTGTGGCAGTCCTACTTTATATGGTCTTCAGAATCATCATGCATTTTATTCTCATTGACTCAGTTTTATTTTAAAAACTGGTGGATCATGGACACTTTTGCTTTGTGTGTTTTTATTTAAGTTCAGCTTCTGTTGATGAGTAACACTTAGTAATAATCTTTCCATGTTACAATCCGTGAAAGCCCTTGGGAAATCTTTTCCAGAGGCAAGTGCAGGATCTGTACATTAAAAAATGGGAGCCTTAGCTTTCTCATCTTACATTTTAGAGCCAAATGCTAAGAGCTGTTAAAGGAGGTGCCCAAGGTGATAGCAAGTATAGTACTGTGTTTGAAATTCAAGTGTACCGATGTTCAATTTAGTGTTAACTTAAAAAATCTAACCTTTTTACTTCTTTACTACCCTTTGGTTCCCCAACCCCTGAAATTCAGTAGTGTCTCCAAGAACTTTATATTAAATTTTCAGTTCAACCAATATGTTTTCACTGAAAATCTTAATGGTTTCGGGAAAGCTATTAGGCATTGTGATGTAATATGTGGTGATCCTTGCTCTGAAGAACTATGTAGTTCTCTTAAGGAAAGATCAGGGCAAGAGCCTCATGAAGGAGGTGGGTTTTATTCTACCTCTTTAAAGATGGGTGGGATTTAGATCGATGGAAAAGAGAGGAAAGAGCAGGCAGGAGAATGATACCAGCAAGGGTGCTGTATCCAAAATTATACTCGTGAGGCTGTGAGACTAGTTTGCACTACATCGGGGTGGTGTATTTCTGTAGTGTTGCTTTCAAAGGAACAGAATATGAGATTGTTCACTCTTAGCTCTAAGACTCATCAGTGAGTTCTGGAGCTATCCTTTTAAGCCATCTATTAAAAAGTTGTCCATGAGCCTTTCATCTGTTTGATCCGTTAAGGATGATTACCTAACTTACTATTATTTTATTAGAGGTTACCAAGAGGTGGTTTTTCTAATTTGTACTTTTTTATTTTTCTGCTGGTAATAAGGGAACTAAAAAATAAAGCTAATACATGACAAATGCTTGAGTATTTACCTTTATTTGTAAATTTTCAGAATAATTGCTTGGTACCTTAGCAACTTTATTAGTTGGCTAACGATGGTGGTGGTGGTGGTGGTTTGTGGAGAGTATCTTTATGAATTATTAACTTACCTCATGTTTTATATATGTATATATAAATATATATATTTTTATATATATATATATAAAACATATGTTTCAGTCCATTGGCATCATTTTTTTTATATTCATATTGTTTTATCTTTTACCAGTTAGAACCCCTTCCAGATGGCTTTTATCTCCATTTTTCATAAGCCATGATGTTTTTGATACCTTCCTTTGTTTCATGAATCACACCATGTTCCAGGATCATCTTAAGCATTTCCTGTTCATACCTGCAAGCAGCCATTTCTCTAAGGAATCTTGGTTACTTTTAATGGAGGATGGTAGATACGGTTCACAGTCTGTTTTCATCACACATGTTTTTATTGTCCTTTTATGATTCAGAACAGTGTAATAATGAGAACAAGGATAGCTAACACTTATGAATGCTTTTATATGTATCAGGAACTATTTCAAGTACTTTACTTTCAGTATCTCGTTTCACCATCATAGAACCCTGTGAGGCAGGTATCCTAATCCCATGTTGTAGCTGAGAAGTGAGGAATTGAAGGCAAATAAATTATCCAGGGCCATAAAGTTATTAACTAGTTTGAGGTAATATTTGAACCCAGGAATTCTGAGACTGGAAACCAAGCTCATTTGCTGCCTCACAGTCTTACTATAACAATCCTTGCTAAGTCACCTATCTTTAAAAATTTTGGTATCCCTCGTCCTATGGACCTCAAAAAAGAAGTAATCAATTAACTAAATTCTCTTTGAAATCCGGTGTATGATGAGCTTGGGGGGCAATACAGTAGTGCTTAAGAGCTCTAGCTTATGAGTCAGATCGCCTAGATTCATATGCTTGCTCAGCTATTTAATAACTTACACAATCTCAAAGAATTAAAACTCCTCAACTTTTCATCTTCAAAATGTAAATAATACTAGTACTGAATTCATAGGGTTTTCATGAGGTCTAATGAGCTAAAAAGTAAAAAAAAAATAAAGCATGTAGAACAGCACCTAGCTCACTGTAAGTCTCAGTAAATGTTAACTCTTGTTATTTTCCTTGTTGAGTATAGGATATCAAATAAAGTTCTACATCAACAGAGGTGAACCTTGAACAGTCACACGGGGGTCAGGACAGAAGTTATTGTTCCCTGACCCGTCCGTATTACAATGAGAGGAAACGGCAAAAGGATTCTCATGGGGAGAGAGGCAGCATAGGGGCCACAGCCTGTTGTCTGGTACCCTGTTGTCTGTGCTCTCGAGTGGCCCTTGAAATGCCACTGTAACTGTTGTATTATATACTGTAGTGGGATTGTGTGTTCACTAGCATGATTCTTATCCCATGGGAGAGAGTCAAGAGCTATTCATTTACTGAACTGGAGAACTGAAGCAGACCGGGTGAGCATCTACAACAAGAAAGTGAAAGGAGGAAGAGAATCCTTCAAAACAGGGAGAGAACACAGAGCTTCATTATTAAAAACAGAAAGAAAAAGAGGGCAGTCATCAATGTGAAATTCTGAAGACGTTAAAAAATCATGGATTGAGAAAAGTCTTTGTGTTTGGGACTAGATCATTGATGACCATGAAACTATAGTTTGAGGAATGCGGGTGGCAAGCTGTTAGCGATGGTGTGGAAGCAGGCAGTTTAAAGAATTCATTGGGGACTTTGAGAAACAATTTAAAAAAGAGTTTGGAAATTAGATGGAGGACAGCAGACAAAATGTTTTTCCTACTTGTAGAATTCATGTATATTTTTTTCTGTATATTTCTATATTGGAAGATACTGCTTAAAAACAAGAAGATACTCTGAACTGAACGAAGTAGATATTTAAGTACATTCACGGATGCCACTATGTGCAGTGGGAGGCCCAGAGATGAATCAGATATTCACCTGATGTCCACAAAGAGTGGACATAGAAGAGTGAACTAAATCATTAGGCAGAGAATTTGTGGATTCTGGAAGAGGAATTCAGCCACGTGTAAATCCTTAATGAAAAGAGTGGTCTCACATAACGGGAAGGTTTGCCTTTGTCATCGGTGTGCATCTTTTAGGAGGGATCTGCACAGAGTGGTGGCAAGAAGAGATCCCACAGGTTGGTGGAACTAGCCATGGTCTGTGAGAGGCCACACGGGGAGTGGAAGTGTGACCTGAGATGTAGGAACGAGGCGGAAACATGAAGCAGACTTGAGCAATTTGGGTTCTGGGGATCATTGTAGGTTAAACAGAACATGTTGTTTGTGCTTGGTTTTGAAGGACGTGAGGGACCTCACTGGGAAGAGGGATGAGGAAGGACAGTACAGGTTTATAGAACATACTGAGAACAACAGTTAAGGTGGATCCCCAAATAAAGCCAGCTTTATTTGTGATGTTTATGTCTAAACAAATGACTGTAGAGAGGAAGAAACCAACTTTGAGTGTATAAAGGTCAGGAAAAGCAGGCTGCAAAGAGGTGGATTTAAACCATGTATTTTCCTGATCTGTTAAAAGATGGCTGCTTCTGAGTAGATCGTCACTCTGTGACCAGCTGTGTGGAGCCTTGATGGTAAGGGGAGTGAGGGCTGGTCTGGATGGTTTGCTGGGTTTCATCACCAAATTATTTGGAGGGACCTAGAAAATAAAAGATGATAGATTTTAGATGACAGTAAAGAATTAAAAGAAAACCAAACTTTAAGAACCAAGCACAAATCTGTTCATGCATTTAATGAAGTCAACATTATAGTTCATGTTACAGATGTCAGGGCTTTTCCTCTCGACAGGAAGTGTTAGAGGATAATATTTTGATCAGATAAACAAATTAAAGATGTTGAACTACTAGTGCAAGCACTTGGAGCTGATGGAGAAAGACCTGGGTTACATGAATTTTTGGTGGGGTCAAGTTATAGGAGACCAGAGGTATGTGTTTTTAATAAATGGCATTATTCCATATATAATACTTTAAAACTGGCCTTTCCTCATTAAGAAAGATCTTGAGCAAAAGTCTATATTAATACATCTAGATTTAACTTCTTTTTAAACTGCTGTATGTATTTCACACCGTGAATATATTACAGTTTATTTAACCAACTCCCCACTGATGGATATTTGTACTGTTTCTAATGGCCTACTTACAAAAAATGCTGCAGTCAACTCCTTCCTAGCCTATATGGGCTTTCTTCATGTTTCTTCATGTCCCTGTTCCTTATTGGATAATGCTGAAATGCTGGAGACTGAGACCCAGGATATGTAACAGCTATGACCAACTGTATCTATCAGAATTTCTCAGGCCATTTGCTTTGGTCAGTTCTAAAGGTTAGCCAACACTTGCTGTTATTTAACCAAACATGTCTGAGAAATGGCTGAGACCCTGTCCTTATCTTTTGGAATTAGTTTTCTTTATTTCTCTGCTTGCCTGTCCTCAGGACAACTCCTGTCCCAGTGTTACAGCTAGAACAGGGCAGAGTAAGAGCGCTCTCTAATAGACCCAAGTCCATGCCTCTCCTGTAATCCATCAGAGTTTTGTCTGGTGTACAATGAGAGAAGGCTTCATTTGGGATGATGAAGTGTGACATGTCTTCTGTTTAGATCTCTTGTTACAACCAGTCCTTTGTGATCTCATAACCTGGGAAAATCCCTGAAGAGTAATAACAGGTAGTTAAGTTTTATTCACAGTTGAGTGATTTACCCACAGGCATTTTTCAACAGCCCAAGAAGGAGTCCTAACTATGATAGAGACTTTGTTGGTAGGATTATTTCTGTAGCGAAATAATACTGCCTCAATACCTGGTTATTTAAAAAAAAGCCTTTATTCTTAGGACTTGAACAAAAGAGTGGGCACATAACATAGAGTGGTACATGCAGTTACAATCTGAAGAATGCAAAAATCCACATGAGGGTACAGCATTTCACTGTTTGGATGGTATTGAACTTGCTAAATGAAGCCTTTGTATCACTGAGTTAGCTGCCCTTGACGCCGGGGATGCTTTGTTTTTGAACGCAGTACATGCATCGCTGGTTTCTTGAATAACAGCACCAACAATTCGAAAATATAACTTCTTGGCATAATTTTTATGTTCTTGAAAAGCCTGCTATTTTAACTCTCACAACAAGACTGACCCAGGCAGGATGAGCAATGTCTTAGATTAGCAAGACGAGGTGACTTATCTTGTCATGGCTGAAACACAACCCAAATCTGCTTTCACATCCATCTGTTATGATGATACTTTCTAAAAGAAGTTCTATGTTGGGACCAAGATACATATATACACATGAACAGAAGGAAGCCTCAAGAATTTCAAGGTGTGCTGTGAAATTCCATACTGCTTATCTTTTGCTATTTGACTATCCATAGGGCTGTAAGCTTAACTCAGAGCTCACATAGAAGCATCCAGGTACTGTAAGTCAATCACTGTGCTTCATCTTGGCTCCCTTTTTGTTCTGTGAGATGAAGAGGACCTCACATGCATTTGGCTCCATGAGGCCCAGAAGCATTTGTATTTGCTGCATCTGTGTTAAAAAGGCCATTGTGTATGTCTGTTCCCTATTAGAGTTGAGTTCTTTGCCTGCTCTGTTTTCAGACATCAAGTCTTCTTTTGATGTGTTTTGCTAACTCTGTTTCCCAAACATGCTTGATCAGCAGAATCACCTGGAGAACTGTGATTTCTGTGATGAGGCAAGTTTGGGAGACAATCTTAGCCTGATCCATTAGACTTCTCTCTTAGAGTGTAGTTACTGACTCGTGCCAGGAACCAAGGCCTGTAGTGTGTTCCTGAAAGCACTTGGCTCCCTACCTTGCTCTGGGCAATAAATGAACTAAAACAACAAAGAAGCTAGGAGGCAAGCATTCACTTCCGGGGGATCCTTTCCAATATCAGGAAAGACTCAGTAAGTGCTGGGAATTACAATACTGATTCATTTCAACAATGATTCGAGGAGCCAGGCGTTTGGGCTCAGTGCTGGGGATATACAACTGTGAATGAGGCCACATTGATGGAGGTGCTTATCATGGGCCGACACCAAGCTAACTGCTTCACATACCTTTTTTCCTTTAAACTTCACAACTGTCCCATGAGGTAGGTATTGTCACCTTCATTTTAAAAATTAAGAGACTGTCATTTCAAGAGCTTGACTTCCTTGGCCAAGGTCCTAGATCTCGTAACCGGAAGACCCAGAACTAACATCCAGCAGGTCAGATTCCACAGCTCATGCTCCTCATCCCATTGGTATTGTGCTTTAGTGCAGTATGTATGTCTCCTCACTTTTCCCTTTGACTTCAGAGGTTCTCCGCTCTGGCTACGCACTAGAGTTGCCTGGGGAGCTTTTGAAAAGTATGTTTGCCTGGGCTTCACCCCAAACAAAAGAGTATTTGGAGGTCCACGTGTCAGCATTTTTAAAAGAACCCTGGATGAGGCCAACGTGTGTGATTGGTTGAGAACCATGCAGTATCATTAATTGCCATCCTAACAGTCTCTCAGATTCTTCTTGGGACATTTGGCCAATTAAGTGTTTAAAATTTCCAGATGGTTTTTTCCAGATGGTTTTTCTTCCCTTTTTAAACAAAGTAGTTAAAATATGGGAAAGACTTTAATAATGCGAAAGTTTTTCCAAAGTGGAACGTGATAGCAGACCCATTTAAAGAGGAATTCAGAAACTTGGAGATCTTTTTGCAGGAGAAGTATAGTCTACAGTGAGTGGTGAGAAATGACCTTTGGTCTAAAGCACCCATGAACTTCTGGCTCTCTCTCCTCTGGTGAGACTCAGAGCCTGAAAACTCTTTTAATCTGATGGGGGAAGAAAACTGGGACAAATGGTGCTTCAAGAAAATTTCCTTCATCCTCGACGAGCTCCAGCTACAGAGCAGCGTGTTTTTGTTTTTGTTTTTTTTTATGGTCCATATGAAAGTAAAATAAAAGTTAAATAGCTTCATTCTTGCTAATTCAAATGTGTTAATATGTGTACTCTAGAGTAAGGTTTATTTTGAATGCTCTAAGAAAAGAAATACCCCGCAAAGTAAGAGTAGGTCTCTAAGTTTCTTGAAGCTGTTTGAGAATCTTTAACTGCTCAAGCAATGCATGTGTGTATGCTCATATAAACTTTTAAGTTAAGAATTCTGTGTTTCAGGCTTTCAACATTTGTTAAACATCTATGATGTGATAGTAACATCTTGCCTTTGTGAAGATGGCAATCTAATTAATTACTGACTCTCCACTAATTAAACCAGTGAGTTGTGACTGTCCCCTAAGAGAGGTTCTTCGCAAAGCGTCTGTATCATATATTAAGAGTTAGTTGAAGTAATCAGAAAGTTGTGGTCCGTATAATTCCAAGAAAGAGAAAAACAGGGAAAGTAAATTTGGGGGTCACTGTATTTCAACAAGTTGGAGGCACTTCTATGAGAAGGACAAATCAGGGCTACCAGGGGAGGGAAGACATTTTAAACCAATAGGTCTTTAGAGAAAGAGAGCACTGACTGTCACTCTAGTAATAGAAGTAACTTACGGTGAGTCTTATCTCTGCATTTTAAAACTTAGCCATCAGTGCTGATAGGATAGTTGAATCATAATGTTCCCTTAGGGTTGAATCACTGTATGACTATTACTAGAAAGGTCATTACCAAAAAAAGTAAACAGAAAAAAAAAAAAAAGAAAATAGAAAAACATGAAAAATGGCCTCCTTTTTTACATTTCCACATAGGTGATCTCCATACCAGGAGATGAACTTGAACTTGGTTGGGCGGGAGACGGACCTGGTTGGGCGGGAGACTGGAGCCCCTCAGAGAATTTGGGATTCTTCCATTTTTACTGGGAGGGTTGGCAGGTATAACATGTGTTGTTATGTGAGTCCATGAGAGCCTCCAGGGTTCTAACTCCCTGCCTCTCCGTGTGGTGGGGAGTCAGTCGCTCACTCTGAAGCACTCGACTGGTTTCTGTCTGTGGCTTACCCATGAACAGTGGCTTGGAAGTGTCAAAGCATGAGAAGCATGCGTGGAACAGCATGTGCTGCCCTCACCTCCTACATGGTTCTGCATGGGAAGCTCCTGGGCTGTCTGCCTCTGGGCTCAGGTGTTTCCTTCTTTCCCTACAGAACTCGCTGAAGGCTTCAAATCGGAAGAAGAAGAGAACAAGCTTTAAAAGAAAAGCCAGTAAAAGAGGAACTGAAGTAAGTGTTTCAGGACTATGTCCCGGTGAACTACATCCTCCTTACTGTAGCCACCCCTGTCCGATGTGATCTGGCCCAAGCTTATTTTTCTGATAAGTTTTCTACCCTTCTTCCCTCCTTCTCTACCCTGTGACCACATTGGAATCCTCTCTGTTTCTTTAAGATGTCTCCCTCTCTATAACCTCCTGCTGCTTCAGAATCAGAGCGTTTGCACTTGTCCATGGAAGTGTCATCCCAAAGATGATGAAGATAAAGATGAAGAGCTAACATTTCTAGAATGCTCAGAGTGTACAGAGTCAAATCAGAAGCATGCTTACTTCCCAAGGGAAAATTATAGCTTGAGATCCTTTTTCTAAGCTTTATATGGACTGTCTTTTTTAGAGTAAGCTGTGTTAAACAAGATGTAGCTTTTTTATTTTGGAGGAGCAAGGGTTAGGGCCGGTGGGGGTTCTGGTAATTACTTCCTTCCATTGCTTCCAGGCCACTTGTCTGAGTCATGGATGGATGTCTCAATAGTGTTGCTTTCTTCCTTCAGCAGGAAAACAAAGGTCGACCTTTTGTGATAAAACCTATCTCTTCTCCTCTCATGAAGCCCTTGCTTGTGTTTGTGAACCCCAAGAGCGGAGGCAACCAGGTGAGTCGTTTTCATGAGTTTAACTTGAAAATAGTTCTCTTGAAAATAGTTCTCCATAATTTCTGCTTCTGTTTCCTTTAGGTGTGCATTAGATTTTGTATTTGGGATTTTTCTTGTTTCTTGAGATAGGCCTGGATTGCAGTGTATTTTCCTCTCAGGACTGCTTTTGCTGCATCCCAAAGTGTTTAAATGTCCATCAACTGATGAATGGATAAAGAAATTGTGGTTTATATACACAATGGAATACTACATGGCAATGGGAAAGAATGAAATATGGCCTTTTGTAGCAACATGGATGGAACTGGAGAGTGTTATGCTAAGTGAAATAAGTCATACAGAGAAGGACAGATTCCAGATGTTTTCACTCCTATGTGGATCCTGAGAAACTTAACAGAAGACCATGGGGGAGGGGAAGGGGGGAAATAAAGTTAGAGCCAAACCATAAGAGACTCTTAAAAACTGAGAATAAACTGTCCTCAATCCCCCTCACCCACCCCTCCCTCTCCTCCCACTCCCCCATCAACCGTCAGTTTATTCTCTCAGTTTTAAGAGTCTTATGGTTTGGCTCAACTTTATTTCCCCCCTTCCTCCCCTCCCCATGGTCTTCTGTTAAGTTTCTCAGGATCCACATAGAGTGAAAACATCTGGAATCTGTCTTCTCTGTATGACTTATTTCACTTAGCATAACACTCTCAGTTCCATCCATGTTGCTACAAAGGCCATATTTCATTCTTTCCCATTGCCATGTAGTATTCCATTGTGTATATAAACCACAATTTCTTTATCCATTCATCAGTTGATGGACATTTAAACACTTTGGGATGCAGCAAAGCAGTCCTGAGAGGAAAATACACTGCAATCCAGGCCTATCTCAAGAAACAAGAAAAAATCCCAAATACAAAATCTAATGCACACCTAAAGTAGAAGCAGAAATTATGGAGAACTATTTTCAAGAGAACTATTTTCAAGTTAAACTCATGAAAACGACTCACCTGGTTGCTTCCGGCCTTGGGGTTCTAAGCAAACACAAGCAAGGGCTTCATGAGAGGAGAAGAGATAGGTTTTATCACAAAAGGTCGACCTTGTTTTTCCTGCTGAAGGAAGAAAGCAACACTATTGAGACATCCATCCATGATCAGACAAGTGGCCTGGAAGCAATGGAAGGAAGTATTACCAGAACCCCACCGGCCCTAACCCTTGCTCCTCCAAAAAAGCTA